TTCTTCTTGTTTTGGTTTTCCCAAGAGTAAGCTTATTACGGTGCTGGTTTATACGTGTATAGATCCTAACATTTCCTTGCACCTTATATTTCTACAGTGAAGGCTCTTTTGGGAAGAACATACAAGTTGTATACAGGTTTATCCCGACTTTTTTTTTCTTTCTGCGGATTGAAGGGACTATTATCTACTATAAAATTTAATAGAATTTACATAATTTAATTAGACTTAGACGTCTCTTTTTAAAAATTTAAGCTGCATTGCTCTCCGAGGAATTTTCTTCTTATACTTACGTGTGATACAGTGTTTGACTATCTTTGTCCATGAGGGATCCGATCCAGTCTTTTCAGGCAGACGATATAAATGTTGTGAAATTCAAAGGAAGCGTCAACTCAATTCATATTATTGATGGAAAATTCTACTATCAGTCCTTCATCACCTTTAACGAAATAAGGAAAATACATCTCATGTTATTGATTTACTGGTAGTCTCGAAACTCTTCTTATATACGAAAATTTTCCAGATGAACACAGATCTTTATATTTTATTACTTATTGGTTAAAACATGATAGTCACTAGGATCATTAGAGAGCAGCCTTGGCTATGCTTTGATAGTTTGCAGAAGCTGGGAAACTATGGTAGTCAACTTCTCACAGTCACCATGGTCTTCGGAGTTGTACTCGATGTAATGAGTCCGGTCTGAATAAAATTTTCTCCTTTATACAGTTGTGATTCGTATATTCGTTTGCTGGATGTAAAGTGATAGTATTTTCCAGTTCATTGCCGCTGTTTTCTAAAAAAGAAGATGATTTACTTCGCCTCTTATATTTTCACAAATTCCAACAGCGGTATTCAGGCGACTCATACGCATTAGGATGGGATTCATTCGGAGCAAGCTGATGCCCTCGCATGGTATTGTTGCCCCAAATTTCTTCATTGATAGGCCCTTTTTACATGCCTGTTTATAAGTACGGATGGAATTTGGTTATATCTTCAAAAGCTCAGTGTCATTGTACTATTTCATCTGGGGAGTTAGTCTTTTATTTTTGTAGCAAGAGGGCATGATTCGATTCTATAACTGAATAAATACATAAATATATATATATTTCGTTGAGTTTATAAATAATTTTGCTCTATCTTGTGCTTGTGTATCATTTTTCTTGAGCGATCAGCTAATTACTAATTGGTTTTCCTGGAACCCAAATTTGATGGTCTGAAATTTGGTTCCGGAATATGGTCTTTACATACTTTTAATAACCTTAATCAATTTCTAACGGAAATTCCGAATGCCTCGACGGCGTTAAGTAATTAAATTTCTAGCCCCATGATTTTAGGATAATATCTTGTATTTTATGATAAAGCGTTTTCTATTTTTGCTGAGTGAAACGTAATTTTTCTTACCCCTGTTGATGCTCATTATCGAGAGCTTTATTCCACACTTTGCTTGAGATTCTCCTGTTTTACTTTAAGAATATTGCTTTAAATTTAACTCTTGTGACGCAGCCGTGTCGCCTATTTAGTAACATGTTTGTTATTGAAAAGGCGTGATTCGAGTTAGGTCCGATTTTTTGGCTCTGATAAAACGTAGGCTAGTTCCAAAACCTCACTTTGACATAGATTAAAGACTTGCTTTAAATCTTCTTGATGCCACTTTCTCTATTATTTTTAAAAATTAAGTGTACAAATATTCTGTTATTGATAGTTGTCCTTTTTGACGTAATTATTCAGAGCACAATTTTACAAAATTCCAATTACACATTTTCTCTGTGCCTTATGGCACCCGGTATTATCCATTATTTCAATATCTTTTCCTCCTGGGTATATAATGCCTTTGTTGCAACTGGCTTTTTTCATTGGGAATATGGTTGCACCGGCCTCATTTTTCAACTTTGCATGAATAATCCTAAAGGCTGTCTGCGACAAAAGGACCCTAGCCGTGAGTACTTTGTTTTTATGACCTTTTGTGTAGTTCAAATCTACCTTCTTGCCGAGGTGACAAATGATATCAAGGTATGGCTGTTTCATTTTATGTGGTTAAATATATCCACTGTCAATTAACTTTAACTGTAAAAGTGTATACCCTTGTTTTGGTGCTTTTTGTGTCTATTGATGTTGACGACCACAATTCTGCTATGCTAACCTAGAAGTTACGCTGTGCTGTGCGCCATGACAAATATGTCGGAAAATGTAGCTCAACATAAATTTTAAACGTTTATTAGTCAATGCGTCCATGTTACAAAAACATGTTTAAATTAACTCCAGCCCACATTTTATTTTTTTAAAAGAATGTCGTTCGTTACATTAATTGTAATATCCTTCATTATCATCATGTATGATCAAAATTCACTATTCATTATCAACTTGGTGAAAATTCACTATGTGGTGACATAATTTCATCGCATTAACCTAGTATCATCACAAAAAGTTGGTCCCTTAAAATGCTATTTATTTGAGGGATCTCTTACTCACCAAAACCTTATTTTTCATTTTTCTAGTGAGATTTGATACTTCAGGTTCATCACTTTTGTCTCGTCTAATTTATGGCTTTTCAGTGCCGAATGTTAACAATACCTTATTTACGACAATCAGATTCCATTTACTTTTATGCATTCTAATTTTGAATAATTCTTTTGGTTATTAGCGATTGTTACTATTTCATAGATCACTGGCAAACTTATGCTCACAGAGACTATTATTAAAATATTTCTACGTTAGTCTGGCAAACGAATCATACAGCAACATTTTGTTTAGAAAAGAATAAATTTATTGAATTATTCTGACTCCTTTTTCCCAACTTGGTTGTGTTGTCAGAGCGACTTAGTTGTAATCACCTTGTTTTCATAATTCCCAGCGTCTGGCCGTGGACTTGGTACATTCCTAGATGTCTCACCAACATCGTAGTCGGCATCGTCAGTGAGTCTTGGTATTCTCAGTACCGAGCTACAACTGGTCAAAGAGACAAGCTAAAACAATCTTTTTCCGAACGGTTATGCTATCACTCATCATTCTGTCCTGGTACATTTACCTATTCCCTACCCTTTTATCTCACTCCCACCCTATCAAAACATCTTTGTCTTCATATCTACTTTTAAAATTAATTCCTTATTCAAAACTTGATCCAGAGCATTAAAAGTTAGTGTATTTACTTTTAACTATTCTCTACTCTTTTTCGCAATTAAGGTCTATGCTAATCCGTCAGATACCCGAACTTTGTGGAGCCTTATTCCAGGTCACTCTTTATTGCCTGTTGTTGAGGCGACCACTTTTGGTGAGGTGCAGGCGCCAACAACCACAACATCTGTAACCGCAGTATCAATCACCAAAACAGTTCCAGATGGTCCGCTTGGTGCTCGCTTGCCTGTGAGTCTAGTATTACAACACCTTATAAGTCGGGCACCGAGTGAAATTCCGTCGTCGTACGCTACCGCTGGCTGGTCAATTCAACAATATCTTATTTGGCAGTTGGGTCCGTGTAATCTACAGCAGCGGTTTCAGGCGTCGCCCAATTTTCCTATTACGACTACTGTAACAAACAGGGCCGGTGGTGAGAGTTCGATAGAGACAAAACGCCAGGGAAGGGGCGCCAGTGAAGCTGAACGCTTAATCTTTCTTCGGAACGGCTTGGCTGCTTACACTAAGGAGGCAAGTTGTGAACTATTCTTAATTTTATAAATGAGGCATTAAGTATTTTCCAACTGTTGTTTGAATCCACATAAATTGGCTTCCCCATCTGCAAAGGTCTTCGCAAATTAGTTACACTCGGAATATATTTCTTGCCTTTCTTCATCTGGCTCATGTAAACTAAAAAGCGATCATTTATTTGATTAAATCAGCTCGCCAAGTGAGTATGGAAGATTGTTTATGTCTTTTAGGTAAAGTGCTCACTATACAGCCTGTATCCTGGCAAGGTAAAATTCAGCACATAAAAGATGGTATTTTATTTTTAACTGGCATGTGCCAGCTAGAAACAGCC